TGGCACAGCCACTATGGAAAACAGTCTGGAGTTTCCTCAAAAATTAAAAATGGATCTACCTTTTGACCCAGCAATTGTACTTCTGGGTATTTACCCAAAGAAAACCAAAATGATAATTCGTAAAGATCTATGCATCCCTATGTTCATGGCAGCACAATTTACAATAGCTAAGATATGGAAGCAACTTAAATGCCCATCGACAGACGACTGGATAAAGAAGTTATAGTTCATATATACAATATTACTCAGCCATTAAAAAAAATGAAAGCCCATCATTTGCAACATTATGAATAGACCTAGAGGTTATTATGCTGAGGGAAATAAATCAGACAGAGAAAGATAAATAACATATAATTTCACTTATATGTGGAATCTAAGGAACAAAAAGAACAAACTAAATAAAAACAGACTCACAAATGTAGAGGACAATCTGGTGACAGACAGAAAGGAGTGGGGCTAGGAGAATGGGGTGAAGGGTTAAAGAAGTACAAATTAGTAGTTGATAGATGGACATGGGGATGGGGACCATGGTATAGGGAATGCAGTTAGCTTTAATGTATTAGCTAGATAGAGAGCCAGAGGAGAGAAAGAGCAATTAGAAAGGGCATCATTTTATAAACTATATAAATGTCTAACCAATGTACTGTATACCTGAAACTAATAAAATAAAATTTAAAAAAAAGAGAGAGAGAGAGAATTCACACATTAACAATATCAAGAATAAGAGAGGTCTATCACCACAGATCTACTCAAAGAATAATAAGAGATGAAATGGACAAATTCCTTAAAGTACATAAACTACTAAAGCTCACTCAAAAAGCAAAAATATTTTGTTTATGAATTATGATGAGCACGTGTTATTGAAGATGGATAATAGGTTCTTGAGGATTCATTATGTTATTCTCTCTACTTTTTTATAGGTTTTAAAATTTCATTAATTAATGCTTTTTTAAAAAAATAAATAGATACAGCACAGGGCAAAATGAATATTTCTCAAACATTTAGCTTACTTTGATTAATGAGATTCTATGTAGTCTCTAATCTTCTACCAGGAAATTATATGGCCTTAGGCAATCTAGTCAACTTCATAAATTTCAGTTTCATAATTTGCCAACTGAAAATAGGC